TTTCAAATAGATGCAAGTAAAACACTCCCTTACTTTACTCATTACTTGAAAAAAGTAATCGGATTACAATGATACATTACTTGTAACGTGTTACTGCCCATCTCTGATGATGACAAGTGTGTGAGTAGCTAAGGCCAAAAACACCCAGTTTCCTGAATTCTTGAAGAACGCTGAAGTTTGAAATACTTCAGGCTGATCGAGCTGATGCAGTGATCTCACTGCATTATCTGCCACATAACCTGATCTTTGCTGATTGACTGGAAGAAATTCACCTGGTTCTACGAAATCACAGTGAGTCATAACGAGGTCAATGTTGATGTCCATTTAAGTTACCAAAAATGGCTCCTTGTGCAGTGAAGGGTTTATTAGACTGAGAGGCAAACTGCTTCTCGCTCAGTCATGTGGAATGGTTTCCACAGAACCCATTTAATATCAGCACTAGTACTGATATACTGGTCAACACAGAGCATGAAGTACAAATAAATACTTGTTGGTTTAAGAAAAAAATACATGAATCCCTTTTGAGAAGTTTAATAGAAGTACAGCCACAAAGACTAGAACACCTAGTGTTCAAAAGTAAAATTACCATATTGTCGGGATGCTTGGGGCTTCCCATGCTTTAATTACAATATGATCAGACACATAGAGCTATTTGTCTGTTTGTATATCTGTCAGCGAATTTCCTGAAAGTGGGTGAAGAGGTGGAGCATGAGGAAATGAAGATCTTGGTACAGATTCAGACTGCTTACTTGAAATATGAAAAATAGGCCACTGGCTTTGGCAGATGATGTGCTGCTTTAACTGTTGAAAGTTTATCCCCTCACCTGTCAGTATCTTGGATATATTTCGCATTCTTTTAATTATTATCATTGTTATTATTATGTATAGCAGATATGATAATGTTGGGGAGTAATATTAATTGCTCTTTGAGGTTGACTGATTTATGTGACCATCCTCTGAGAGAAGATGTGTTTTTCTACCCTTCTGCTACCAGCCTGAAGGCCTGTCTGTCTGTGAGCCAACAATGATTAAATGATAAATGGTAAATGGACTGATTCTTATATAGCGCTTTTCTACTCAAAGCGCTCTGTCATGTCATAACATGTCATCGTTTCAGGTTTCTGCAGGGTATTTGTTCTGTTTGATCCTTGTTACATTGGCTGTGTTTATGGTTTTTCCATAAACCTCTCTGTGAGGTTTGGAACTCTGCAGCTTTGAGTTGACAGAGCGTTGGTGATTTTTACACACTATAGACTCAGCACTCAGCGAGAACACGTTCTAAAAGTTCATGGCTAAGTTGCTGTGGTTCCACTTTGCAACAATAGCACTAACAGCTGATTGTTGTACATGTAGGACCAAAGAAATTTCACAAACTAACTTGTTGCAACTGTTGCATCCTATCACACTATCACACTCAAATTCAGTGAGCTCGTAAGAACAACCCGTTCATTCACAAACAATATGTTATAAAGGCAGACTGCATGGCTTGGTACTACATTTTACACACCTATGGCCACAGGACTGAAAACATCTAAATTCAAAGATTCAAAGAGTTTGGCCCAATACTTTTGTCAACGTAGTGGATAGTCTTGACTTTCCCCTTTGTTAAGGTGTTCACCTGTTCACCTGAGTGACATATTTCCTTTCATTTTTGTTAATGATGTTTTTGTTATTTACTTATTTAGGATTGTTTTTTAATTTCTGATGTTACTGCTTATTATTACAGATCATTAATTAGATACCCATATATGGTGGCCCTGAGAGGTCAAATGCAGTGCAACTTAAGAAAACACTAATAAATAGAAAAAGAGCCAAGGTATCAGTGTTAGTGCTGCGTGATATTGCAAATTTTGGTATTGATTCAATACCAAGTAAACACAGAGCCAGTATTACCGATACCAAAACTGATACTGATAATTTTAACCTATAAAGGCAGCTTATGTAGGGATAAATAGTGCCTCATAATTTATGAAATGAATCATCAATTTGCAAATGCTGAACACACTTTAATGACCGCAAAATCACTGTGATGTTTTACTTTCCACTATGATTAGTTGACAGCAAACAACAACAAAAAAACTGTCAAAAGAATTTTCATATATTTTGACACCTGGAATGCAAATGTGCCCGTCTTTAAAACAATTTGGGCAACTTCAGACTGTAACTACGCCCATGTTAAATTAATAAAGGGATATAAACACAGGGAGCTGGGCTTGCCTGTGCCATCAAAGGCGGTCCTACTCATCACCAACCCTTGTTGGGCTGTGTATATGATTCATAGTTATATGCCACATGTTGGAGAAATGCTTCACTCCCACAAAGCGTGTTGTCGTCACTGGTCAGCTCCCAGCAGCAGCCTCCTGAAGGGGGATCTACCCCGGAGGGCTCCGCAGTTCAACTCTCGACGAGCAGAGGAGGACTCTCACAGTCCGAGGCAGAGGTTCTCAATGAAGATGTGAAGATAAGCAGCGCCTCGGCTCCACCACCAGCTCGTTCACACGCTCCAGCAACGGCGGCCGCATTTCCAGTAAATGCAATTTGCAGCAGCCCTCCACTCGGGCTTTTCTTTTTCCTTTTCCTTAATTTTTCTCATTTGTGAGCGATCGCTATGGCAGTTCAGTCCACATCCGGGCCACAATGCTTTGACTCCATTATTGTCTAAAACTGGCGGAGAGGTTGATAAACCTTGTCATTTTTTACATTTAAATAGACATTTTTTTGGGACGCGCAGTGACGGCTGGGGTCGAGAGGAGATGTCTAACCAAGGAGTTCGGCGGAATGGCCCCGTGAAGCTGCGATTAACAGGTAGCCTGCAACGCTTTTAAATCCCCACGTATTCCCACACACACACCAGCTAGGAAGGCTCCGTGTATTTGCTGGCTGGGAACAGTTCACATGGGCTACGGAGTTGGCTCGCCGCCGGTGCTTTCTGCTCTCATTTGCACAGATTTGTTAGCAGCAACAGTGTATTTAAATTACTAGCTGACTTCACAGGGCTAAGGCAAGCAGGAAAAGCGAGGAAAACGCTTAATGAGGATATTGTTGCTCTTGGAAATAGTCTGAGCCTCGTGATTGTCGCCAGTAAAGCACCACCAGCCATAACACTGGTACCCGGGTCGCTCAGCTCCAGTAATGAGCCGCCTTCCAGTTGTAGCTGGTTGACGCTTATCAAACCTTAGTGTGTATTAGTGTCTCACATTTATATTCCAGCTCGTAAAATTCCATTATTTTTAAACAAAGGGGAGCTTTACAAGTGTTGTGCTGTTCCGCTGACAGACGGGCTCGCACAAAAGTTGGCTAGCTGAACGTAGCATTCCCGGTTAGCTCTAATCAAGTCTTTATGACAGGACAAGCTTCGGCTGAGATGATAAGCAGCTCAGGTCACTGGAGTCTGAGCAGTGAGCGAGCAGTGCGCCAGAACCGACAAACGGCTGCCCCCCTTTGTTTTGGTGTCGTCGTTAAAGCAGGTTAAAGTTGTATCCGTGAACCCGTGGCCCCCTTTGTACCGCTACGTTATGATTCACTGGGAAACACTTGAATGTCACTTTGTTTGGAAGTAGCATGTAGCTGTGCTGGTCTGCTCGGACCTGTCGCTCTCCTCGGCATCAGCACAGTCAGGAGGGGGGGAAATAAAAAGGTTTACACGAGAGCAGCTCACTGTTTTGACTGGAAAAGGGGGTCAGACGGCTGCCTCCTGGGTCTTTTTTTGTTTTGTTTTGATGTGCGTCCAAGGTCCGACCTGAATCCAATTAAAGGGCTGTTTGTTCCACCAGGAACTGCCGAGGGAAACATTTAAGTTGGTGATGTTTCTGATAGGAACAAGTGGAGATAAGCAGGGGATCTCAGTGAGGTGAGTGGGATACATGCAGAGTGGCAGAAGACAGGAAAGCTTTCAGCAACAGTTTCACAATGACGCAATGATCCATACAGTTGTATATGAGTGTGTATTTGAGAATGCGTTGCCTTCAAAACTGTTAGGATCCCAGTCCTTACTTTCTCTACAGTGATGTTCCTCTGAAGTAAGGCTGCTAACAGAAACTAGACACTGTTATTAACATATAAGCTCGACATGTACAGAGCCCTGCTTATATAGCAGAGCATCTGAGACCCAATGACTACAGCTGGCCTCTCCCATTCTCTACCGAGGATCTCCTAACTGTCCCTCACTCTGATTTTAAAACCAGAGGTGATCTTGCTTTTTAGGTTTTGGCATCCAAGCTGTGGAACAGCCTTCCTCAGCCTGTCAGGTCAGCTGATTGTGTTATTGGTTTTAAAGCTGAAAACACATTAGCTTTCCCTTAGTCTCGTCCCCTTTATTTTCGACCCTTGTTTACAACTATTTGCATGTATTGAAGTGTGAATAGTTGATTATATGGCTGTCTATGTGTCCGTATTTTGGATCGTTTTACTTTGATGTGTGGATTTTACTTAAACTGTGAAGCACTTTGTAACTCTACTTTGCAAAATGAAGTTATGTCATTTTTTTAGGTATACAACTTAAAATTAAAGTGGACCTTTAAAGCTAAAAGGGCTTGTTGCAGAGAGTATATGAACTGAGAAGCTATACAAGTTAAACAAGGATTATTTTGAACCCCGTGTCATGCAAAGCTACTCTAGTGGACTTGCGGGGTTGAGGAAAAATGCGACTTTGGAGATGAGCATAATAAAAGTCTCGGTTGTGAATTAGTTTGTCACTGCAGTCGTCTCCTGGTGGAATTCGAAGAATGTGAGTCCACTATGGGGAAAAAATGGTGAGAGCAGGACATTGCAGCGCACCTCTCCTGTTTAAGCTCAGTTAAACTTGTGAAACACTCATCAAGAGTCAATATTAAGCTCCCTACTTATCAATCAGCAAGCGAAATAGAAACTACTACTTGCACACATGTATGTGTTTGGCTTTCAGGATCCTTGCATGTTTTGTTTTGTTAACTATCCCTGCTCATGGAAAGTTCTCCCCCCCCCAGACTTATGTAATCTGGTGCTATCTCATCCATATGGTCCGCTCTGTTCCTTCGCTCAGGCCGTCGCGATCCCTTGTTCTCCAGCTCGTGCAAAGTGGAGCTCAGAGGAAGACAGAGTCCTCACTTTCATATTTGAAGCTTCACTCCACGTTGTCATTATGTTTCTTTGTTTAGCCCTGCACAGCTCTGTGTACTAGGTCGGTACAGAAGAAGCAATGAGTTCAGAGAGTGTTGCTATGTCGTAGCTGCGTGTTGTCATCTCCAGTGGAGTTTTTTTTTTTTTTTTGACATAGCTCTCTGATTAATTTCTTCCCCCGACAGGTTGTGAGCGATGAGTTGCTACATTTAAACAGGCCCAGAACTGTTTGCGTCGTAGGCTTCTCTCCTCGCTGACAAGCCTCTTGTCCATTTAAAGCAGATGTTGCAGATGTTTGCCGGCTATTAAAGCAGGGGGAAAAAAATATCACAAGCAAGCTGCTAAAGCCCACACTTTGACTCCTGAGGGCAGGTTTCCATTATAACCTGCAGCTGATGTCTGCTAAGTTATGTCATGAAACAAACACGGCTAATGGCGTAACATTACATCACATGCACTTAAGTGAAATTGCTGAGAAACGACTCGTCTTATCGTCCGATGCATCTTAAGCTCTGTCATGCACGCCTGGCTTCTGGCATAACTTGGGATGCTTTCCATCATCTGTGCCTGAATTTTTTAAACTTTGCAGAAAAGAGAGCACGTCATTTGTACCCTCAGCAAATATAGAACCACAAGCTCGCCTGTCATAGAAGTAAAATCAGACCCATAAAACCAGAGATGGTTAATAATCAGGCACAGTCGGAGCGATGTCCTCATGAAAAATGCTTCTATCTGGAAAGATGTGCACCAGAATAATAAAACTGACCGATGTTTCATTTAATTTGTTTTTTTTTTTTGTCTCCTCTGGTTAGGTCCTTTACGGGTTATTGCTGTTGTGTCTCAGCTCTGAGTTTACATGTGACTTGTTAAGCATATGGTTTGCTCATCTGAATTCTTTGGCGCGGCGTGAACCGCCGAAGAGAGCTATCTCAGTGGGATTCCCTGCAATTCTCCATTCGCGTTCCCACCTCTTCCTCTCTGAGTCACTCCTGTTCTTTCCGACTGTAAGCCTCTTCCCTCTCAGACCAGGGTCCAAAGCATATTTCACTCCCACCCTCTCTAACCGAGCTTCCTCATCACTCTCCGATCGTCCTTCTGTCTGATGCACTTTGTGTTTAGTTTATTTCTTTTTTTTCTGTTTTAAATAACCACACATGAGAGTTTGACAGTGCTGTTATTTTTCATGAAGTGGTTTGCAATATACCAATGAATGAACATGCAGAAAAAAACACATTTATTTGAAAGCTGCAACAAAGGCCCAGTGTGGGTTGAGTGAAAGACTTGGGTCTTTTTTAAATTGCAAGTCCTCGCTTTTCAGTGCAGCTCATCGCCTCCAGATGAGGGTCTTTTGGATGCTGCTTAACTGCAGAAGAACACCCCCCCCCCCCCACACACACAAAAATAAAGTCAAAGTGAAAAAATTATGCAGCTAGCTAGTCTATTTTGAAATAATTTCATACCAACACACACACACACACACACACACACACACACCCCCCCACACACACACACACACACACACACACAGCTGGGCACCGATGAGGCTGTGGAGGCACACAGGACCTGATCATCAAAAATGTTTTAATGTGGTCTGAGCTGGCTGCTCGGTGCATTCATGTGGCCTCAGTCAGAGCCATTTTTACAGAGTGGCTGTATGGAAGTGATTTGGGTGCATCTGGGTGTTCAGACAGGATACACTGTAAATACACAGTGATTAGCTGCATGTGGTGAAATGTCGACTCTGCTCGGCCCATCGCGGTCATGCATCTTGAGCAAACATTTCCACATTTTTACTTTTTGTTTTGTTTTTTTCTAAGCTTTTGACAGGTTGTAAAAGAAAACAAAAGAATAGCTGAAAAAGACCGAGGAGGAGTGGGAGAGGTGGAGAAAATAAAACAACAAGGGTGGAGGAATGCAACGAGCAATTATGGCACATCATTTGTAAACACACACCCCCCCCCCGCTGTGAGCCTCCCATAATTTTTAAATTGTCCCATCAATTAATTGACTGGCTGAAGTTGGCTTTCCTGTTGGTTCAGCTGCTCCTCGATGAGGACAAAGCCTTCTTGCGGTTGCTTTAGCCCTCAACTGCTGCCAGCAACGGCCCAGAGGAGACCAGATGTAGCAGGCGGGAGAGAAGAGTGGGCAGCTTTGTAGAGAGGAAGTGCTCCCCAGACTCGAACACTTGTCCAAACGTCACCCCCGACAGGTGGGGAGCAGAGCAGTCTAGATCCCCTTATGATAATAAGTAAAGTGAAGAACCGCAGTCGTATTACTCAGCGGGACTTCAGGCGTCTAGTGTGTTGCTTGTGTCACTGGGTGGCTCGCAGATGTATGTGCTCGCTGAATTATAACAGTGTGTATGGGTTTGATTAGTGGGCAGCGTGTGTGGTTTGGGGAGATTAACTCTTCCTGCTTAGCAGAGCTTCAACACCTCATATTTGTTGCTTTGTGATATTAATATTCGAACAAACAGTATTTTCCTGTATCCACACACTCTGTTTTATTTGGTGTCTGAAAGAATAGGGAAAATCAGCCGCGGTCTTCCCTGTTTGTACTCAAGCTTTCGACAGCAGAGATCCTCAGCCGGGGTGGCCTGTATCCGAAGGGGATTAGTTCTAGAGATACCAGTAGGGTACAGAGCTCATAGTCCTTTGAGAAGCAAAGCAGACCACTCATGATCCATCCTGGTAGCTTATCTACAGCTG